TAGGTAGGTAGGTAGGTAGGTAGGTAGGTAGGTAGGTAGGTAGGTAGGTAGGTAGGCAGGCAGGCAGGCAGACAGATAGATGGGACTAGACCCATTGAAGACCCTCTGGGGAAGCTCCAGGGGCAGAGAAGAGGGTGTTGGACTTCCTGAGATGCCCCCTGTGGGAAGAGAAGAGAAGGTCCTTTTGGCCAAGGTATTCAGGGGGTTGGGTGACCACAACTGGGTGCCCCCGGCATGTGCCATATCTGAGACCATTTGATGCCCTTTTGGGGGAAGCTTGTCCATGGGGAGGTGCTCCTTTCTCCTCAGTTCTTGCCCAATCCTGCCAACAAGAGATGGCAAGGATGCCAACCTTCTGTGGCCTGCAGGTGAGGGATCCTGTGTGGTCTCTCCTTGGAGGAGACTTCTGGGGGGATTGTTCTCCTGAAGAGCCCGAGAGAGGGACCACACAAAGGAAGCCCAGCGTAAAAGTAGACAGCCTGGACCTCACCCATTCCCAGTCTCCTAAGAACTGTGAAGGTCCGGCTCAAGCACGTCCAGCGGAGAAGCAGAACCGGGACTTCTGAAACGGACCCAGCCTGTGGCTCCCTCTTGTCCTCCCCCTCAGCGTCTCCATGAACACCACGAGTTCAGCTTTGCCTCTTGAGGTTTGAGCCAAGGCTGCAATTTCTGCAGGGGAGGGTGAATCGTCTAGGAACCAGCCTCCGTTTCCTGGTGCGGTTCACTTTCACACAACCTCACAAAAAGGGTGCCGTTGTTGCCAGGACAGAGCAGGCTGCCAGGCCCCTAAACCCAGGGGGTGCCACAACCTCTGCAGGACCCCCACAGGAGACGCAGGAGGCGCCTCCTCCTGCCCCCTCTTTTCGGGCAGGGCTGCTGTAACCTCACCCTCGGGCTGCCTCGACAGTGGAGGAATGAGCAATTCAGCATGTTTGGGTCAGGGGGGAGGCATGTGCTTAATGTGCAGAGGGGGCCAGGAATGTCGGGAGAAATCTCAGCCCTCCAGGAGGCCTGCAAAGCATTTAGGAAGCTGGTTTAGAGCGTGGCAAAGAATTTGTCCATGGAGCCACCCTTCCTTCTCCGGATTTAAAAACTTAATAAATACTTTAAAAAATATTAAACCAGGGTGCAGACCAGACTCTCTCCTCCTCAAGCTTCAGCGTCCAACCTTTTTCACACTGCTGCTTGGAAGAGGTTGGATCCCAGCTGCCAAAGTCTCTCCTTTGGGTCTGCTGAAGTTGCAAAGCTGGACTCTTGCAAAGCAACACCGCCCGGGGGGTCACAAAAATGGGCCTCTGGGCATGCACAGAGGGGTTTTTCTTTTCCCCACTCTGAGAAAGCAGAAGTGGGGGGGGGAAGGGCTGGCCCAGAAAGGCTGGGGCTTCCGGCAAAGCAGCTTCCAGCTTCCTTCTGGGGCAGGGTGGCTGCCCCATGGCGTGCCTAGCAGTCCGCCAGCCCTTCCCATCGGGCGTATTAATAGCTCCGCAGAGAGCAAGGTCAGGCAAGGACAGCCGGAGCAGCGCCACTTAAAAGGGCGAGGGCTTCTTCACCCAGCCGCCCTTCCTCCTTGCTCGGGGCTCCCTTCCCGGCCCAATGCAAGCGACTCTCCCTTGCAGAGACTTTAAGAGGCCAACCTCTGCTTTCTCCAGGGGTTCTTACAGGGGGGTGGGGGGCACCTCCAGATCTGGAGGTTGGAGCTGAAGACTTTTTTTATTTCTTTTCCCTCCCCAACCCCACAGATACGTTTGGCCACCAGGTCTGCCTTTCTGGTGAGGAGGGTATTTCCTCCTTCGACTTCAGCCAGTCCAGAATGCAGCCGCGCGAGCGATTGTGGGTGCANATAACTTCCCACAATGGTTTATATTGTTGCTCTTCGCAAAACGTTCAGTAGAAAAACACCTAAAAGAAAACAAACTTGCAAAGCCAACCATCCAGAAAACGTTGTTTATTTTGGTTGTGGATAATAAACATTTCCAAATTATACTGCTGGCATGCCCCTGAATTTGACTCCCAATCCAGGGCCCCCTTTTCCTTCATCGTAGCCACCCCCTGGTGCAGACTGCTGGCAGGCGGGTGGCGGCCATCCTCTTTTCCTTGCCCCCAAATACAACAGGGGCATAAAGGGGGGGGGGAAGTAAAATCGGCGCAGCAAACTCCACCCTGGGCTTCAAAGGCATTCCTTCATTGTTCTTTGTGTTGCAATCCTGGTGGGAGGAAAGACTAACCAGAATTCTCTCTCCAGATTTCAGGCACGGCCCCAAAACCAACATTTCTTCCGTGTAGATCCTAAGGGCTGACCGGCTTTCTCTATCTGCATTCAAAGCAGGAGCCCTCAAACTCATGAGACACACACACACACACACACACAATATGTCTGACGTACAACAGGTGCTGTACAGATCTAAATCTTTGTTCCTGGAAGGGTGGGTGTGGCTGTGTTTTGTTCAGCGCCGGGCATGACTCACAGCCTCTGCCCTTCTTCAGAACAAGCGTGTGGCTTTGGTGGGGGTGCCCCAGCAGGAGAGAACATACACACATGCGCATTCACACACACACACACACACACACTTACTTCAAAGTGGTTAACTTAGAACAGGTGACTTCTGCTCCAGATCGTATTTCAGAGGCACCTTACGGAACAAGTGGTTTGGGAAATTCCATTTCTGAAGCTTGGATACCATCCGAACGGTTTCCACTTGTCCAGGGAGAATCTATCCTCAGCTCTGACTTGAATGGACCAAGAAAGGCCTTGCAGAAGATTAGAAGAAGAAGAAAAACACCCCAACTGCAAAGAGCTGAAATATCCGGAAGGGGTTTGGGTCCTGTTTTCTTTCTATGTCCTAAAATGTTTGTCTTT